GGTGAAAACAGGGAAATTCTAGAACAATCATACATTGCAAATGGGTGTGTAACTTAGTGCAACAATTTTGGAAAACTGTCTGACATACTCTGTAATCAAGCTATTACACTCAACAATTATATGTATGTATGTACACCAAAAAGATATGTACTATTAATGCTGCATTTTGTAACAGCTCTCAAATTGGAAACAACCAAAAACCATTCAGCTGCTGACCTCATATAAGTACAGAATACAATGGTGGTAACTGAGGACTGAGGTGGTTGTGGGGAGGATGAGTTGGGGAGATGTTGTTCAAAGGATACAAAATTTCAGTCAGATTGGAGGAATAGATTCAAGAGATCTGTTAGACAACATGGTTACTATAGTTAATAATATAATGTATTCTTGAAAAATGTAAAGAGCAAATGTAAAGTGTTTTGATGACAAAAAATGATAACTATGTGAGGTAAGGAATATGTTAATTAACTAGATTTAGTCATTCCACAATAAAATCTTTCAGTTTGACAATTATTCTCCCTCAGCCTTTTGAACATCTTAATCCATTGTCTTTTGGCCTCTCTTGGCATCAGTTTGATTTTCTGGTGAGTCTCTTTGGCAGTTTATTAGATTTTCTCTATAGCTTTAATTGATGTTCTGAAATTTAAAAATGACGTGTCCAAAGTGAATTTACTCAGACTTAACCTGCTTGGTACTTGGATAGCACTTTCTATCTGGTACTCACGTCATCTTCAATTTTGCAATATTCTTTTTTTTTTTTTCCTTTTTGTCTTTTTTGCTGACCAGTAACGGGATCTCAACCCTCGGTGTTGCACCCGCACCGCGCTCAACCAGTGAGCGGGAACTGGTCTCCACATGGGATCCAAACCCTCGGCGGGAGTGCCGCTGCACTCCCAAGAGGCGCACTCTCCAGTGCGCCACCGGGCCGGCCCTGCAATATTCTTAATTATTGGCTTTCAACTATCTTTTTTTTTAACAATCCTTCCTTTCTCTTTTTCTGAAATTTCTATTAGATGCACTTGCATCTTTTTACTCTTCCCTCCAAGTCTCTTAACTGTTCTTTCAGACTTTTTACTCTTTTTTATCTCTGTACTGCATTCTGGGTAATTTCCTTAATACTATCTTGTACTTTTTAATAGATTCTTTCACTATGTACTTCTATTTATTTTATTTAATTAGTTTACACCATCTACTGCATTTCTTATAGTAATTTGTTCACAGCCATTACATTTTTAATAATTTTAAGTGAAAGTTATTACTTTAGGACTTTGATTATCCTTAACATTCCTATTTTCAAGTTTGATTTGACTGTACTAACTGTTCTAACTGCTAAAGCATTAGATTTCCTCATATGTTTTAAAATCTCATTTTTCATGCTCTTTTTGAAAGTATGGTTCTTTGTTTAATTTTTCTTTCTTTTTTTTTTCTTTGCACTCTCTACTGAACTTTAAGTGTGTATTTATTTTTTTTATTGGTTATGAGTATTCATGAGATACAAAGCTGATTGTCACCCCTCATGCCCGTGATGTGGAGGCCAGGTTCATACCAGCTGTATACCCATAACCACAAATTGCATTTGTTTAATTTTTATTTCTCTGGCTCTCTTTCCTTTGCTCATCCTTTCTGTCAAATAGGTACAGTGACATAAGTATCCCCCAAGGTCCAATGACAGGTGGGCAGTATAGTTCAGTCTCCAGTTACTGGAACTGTCTCATTCAGACCCCTAGACCAAATCTTGCCGTAAGTCACAGTCCTGGAAAATGACTGACATCCATTATTGACAGCCTCCTTTCATACAGGGAGAGTTACACCCCAGCCCATCTTCAGGCACTGAGCTGACTGATTCCATGGTCAAAGCAGGGAAATACTGAATCCCTACCATGCTGCCAATGCCTGCTCATATACCTAGCAAGCCTCTGCTTTCAGCCACCTCACCACTTTGTAAATCTATTCCATTTCTAGTCCACAGAAATGTTAATCTTATTTTTGAGCTATCTCTGGTGCTCTGTTTTTTCTCTTTTGTATTATCTTTCATTGCTATGTAATTGGAAAAGAAGAGCTCCATCAAAGAATTAGTTGTCATGATATCTTGAACGGAAGTGCCAGCACTGAATTTTTCTAACTTGATTAAAATTGAATTAGGAGACCGTGAGGAAGTAAGTCACTATGATGTAATGAAAAAGAGTAGTAAATTAGAAAGCAGAAGGTAACAATAATAAAGACAGTCTATGTTAAGAACTATTCCAAATGACTTGCTTAGATTACTTCCCTTTGATTTTCATTATACCCCCATACTGCTACCACCCTATGTTCCAAACAACGACAAAAACCCTGAAGAACAGAGAGGTATAATATAAATTTCCTGAGGTCACATAGCTCCAAAACGGTACATTTGAACCTGGTAAGTGTAACTCCAGAGTGAGAATCTTTACTAAATCATATTGCCTAGTTCCAACTTTGCCCAGAGTAGCTTTGTAATCCTGGGGATATTATTTCACCTCTCAGTGACAAAGTTTTATCATCTGTGAAATGAGATGATTACACCAGATGACTTTTAAACTAGTTTTTCAAACTCTAGTCATCTATGATACTACATTAAAATGAATTCACAGTTCTGGTTAGCTTCCTACTACAGAGTAGCCTCATAAATCTATTTGGGGAAGTGAAATTTTTGGAAAACCTTCCTATTTATTTTTAAATAATCTTTTAATGAGATATGCAACACATTTTAAAGGAAAACTTCATCATTTAAAATGATCTGTAAAAGAAGACATAAAAAAAACTCTGCACATTATGTGCCTACAATGATGATGTCTAGTGAAGGTCAACTCAGTAAGTATAAAATGTCTTGAACATAAATTTAAAACTAAGTGTATAGTTGTATGAGAAGACTTGAGTTTTCATCTTCATTCAGTCTCTAATCCATACTTAACCTTTTTGAAACTCAGTTTCCTTGCTTTTAAAATAAAATAATAAGACGTTTGAGATCCTTCCTGTTTCTAACATTCTCTTAGTCTACAAGTGAGAATCGATTAAAGTAGTTCAGTAATGGTATGATTTACATAGACCAAAAATATAAAAAGGAAAATATACGTTTGAGATCCTTCCTGTTTCTAACATTCTCTTAGTCTACAAGTGAGAATCTATTAAAGTAGTTCAGTAATGGTATGATTTACATAGACCAAAAATATAAAAAGGAAAATATACTTTTATCGTATGAATGACAAAATCCCTGAGTTAAGTTAGTTTTTTAATTTACCTCTTATAGGAAAAATACACCTGGGGTATTTAGTTAAGAATGTTGGTCCTACTCAGACTGTCTGCCTGAGTTAGTTTTTTTTCTAGAGTTTTTTAAACTGTCTGGTCTTAACTTTACTCTAACAGGGATGCTTTGATGATTAAATGAGATAAGAAACTTATATTGTTTGTGTCTAGCATATTGTAAGTAATCAGTAAGTGTTTGTATATATTAATAGTAGCTATTTGAATAGCTTGAGGGTATTTGTCGAGTCTGCATTCCTAAATATCTGTTAAAATCAGATGTACACACCATCTTCAATAACTTGCTTACCCAGACACAAAGGGGCATAATCATGGGAGTTTCTTGTAATTTCACTTATACTAAAATCTCATACTCTGTGTCTATATGTCTCTGTTTGAAAAGAGTGATTTAGTGAGCATTTGGTATTGCTTGATGTTTTATACACTAGGTAAAGTAGAAATGGTTTCTGCCTTCACACTGGAGGATGACATCTAAAAACAGATGTACAAATGGGAAAAGAAGACACAGCAAAAGTGAGACCTTAGCTTGCTGGTCACACAACTTCATGCCCTGCAATCAGGGTGCACTTGTCAGTAAAGAGACACTGCAGGAGCTACAACCACTGTTTTTTCAAAATCCCTGGAATTTTCTTAAGGTGCGTAGACATACATATTCTAAGAGGTTTTGATCAAAATCTATTTTTCTCTCCTTTGGGCTGAAGTGGAGGAATCTAAATTAGTTGTAAATTAAAGAGCAAAAAGAGGGTGAATAAATATTATAATAGAAGACATACATTTTAAATACACCCTTTTATTTTAATAAGTGCATTCTTTATATTATAAATACAATTTTCTATAAATCCTGATCTACTTTTTTGTAAAATAAAAAAAGAGAAAAAAGAAACCAGTGAAACTACTAACCATACCTAAATTGAAAGCTTCTTTCTTATATTTGCAGTTTAATGTATGATATCTATTTTAATTTCTTTGGGCTATAGGAACATACAATTCAAATACTCTGGCATTTAAGTTAAAATTAAGGCCTTAATTTAAGCCTACTTTTTGATTTGAAGAGACCACAAAATCTTTGTTGTTTTTTAGTTTATAATAGATAGTGACCTATTTCGAAGAGGTTCAATGAGAATTGATGTTGGAAACTGCCGTGAAGATACAAATTGCTATAATTATCTTTGAATATACACATCATTAAACTAGAATGGATGTCAATAAACCAGCCAAAAATAAATCTAAACTATTCATAGCACATTATTGCAAAACAAAAGTAAAATAATTTCCTTCACTCTTTCAACAAATAAAATTTGGACTATAATTTTCACATTTTTATCTGTATACATAAATTTAAATAATATTTTCTCTCCATTTAAATCATTATTTTCAAAAGACAGATGCTATATTTGTGTACACATATATGTATTCATGCATTTTAAGTCATAATCAGCATTTTTCTTTTTAAGAAAAATATAACCATTGTAGTTTTAAAAAGAGAAATATTTTGGTTAGATGTGAACTGAAATGAACATGATATATTAAAAATCTCTACAGTATAGTTAAAATCCCAAATATTTCAAAGTTATGTTTACAAGAATCAGTCTCAATAACATTCAGAATCTTTTCTCTCTTCACATAAAGGTATCATAGTAATAGAAAAAATATAATGTTGAGTTACTCATTCTGATTGCAGTTTTTAATGTAATTTGCCCTGTGCATCCCGACTTCACCTTGTCAGAGAGTACTGCTTCCCCAAGGCTGCCCCAGGGTCCTGTTGACGGATTGCTCTAATTGCAGTCGGTGCTGTAAACAAGGCAGCTACTCCATGCTCCGCAAGCACACGAAAATAAGCGCCAGCATCTGGTGTTCCCACAGGCTTCCCCTATGATGAGATTCATTTAAAATGTCACTGGGTAAAATGTCTCATATTTCATTGACAATTCAATGCCTCTACATTTAACACAGCCTTATTAATAAAATGGGGTTCTCAACAGATCTTAGTTTTCCAACATTCCCATATTCTATCATAAATAAAACAAAGCAAATGCCCAGGATCAGAGAGGCTGTCTGCTCCATTTATGGCATTCTAAAAGCTTTAAAATTGGAATTTTTCTTTTCTCACATTTTGAAGATAAAAAACAGGAAACATATACCACACTCAAATTAAAAACATAAAACATTCTTCTATTTGCCAAGAAGTTAAATATATTGTTTTGTGTGGTACAGTAAATGAAGAAGCATGGTTGTTATGAATTTTTAACATTTAACACATTTTTTTCGTCATCATACAGTATTAAAAATGACAACAGCAATTCTCAAAACATTTGAGAAAAGAGAAAAATATGAAACCATAGTGATTCCTGAGCAATGACCTTTTCAGTTCCAAGGAAAGTAACTTCTATGAATTAAAAAAAAAAAATCCAAAATTCATGTTTTCCACTGCCTCAAAATGACATTACACATACTCATTGGAAAAATCATGCAGAGAAATCAAACAATTTTGAAAAACTATACAATTAAAAAAATCACAAAGCATTTTAAATTGATGTTTCTGCAAAGTGGAAAATGAGCAAGTTATTGAAATACGTCAATAACTCTGCAAAAATTCTAAGTGACCCATAACATCTATCTTGGCCCAGCCATCTCTCCTCATCCTTCAATCCATTCTCATAACTGCTACCTTTTCCTATGTTTCTAAGGCAAGGTGCCTGGAATGTGAATATATTTTATGCAAAAATATACATATTTCAAAATCAAATTCTTTTGGTAGAAGTTGGGGTAAACAAAAGAAAACAAGCTTCTTATCTTAGATCATTTCTTGAAGCCATAAAATTGTTAAAGTACATCAAGAATTTCCAAAAGATAGCTAACAGTCTATAACATTTCCTAAACTTCTCTGACCAAATCCCCCACCTGAGCTTTCAAGGATTTTATATTCAGGAAAATACACGCAAAAAACACTAAACTAAGATAAAAATAAGAAAGAATTTACTAGTAGGAAACTCAGAGATCTCCCCAAACAGAGAATAATATAAAGAGTGGATGATAAGTATGAGGTAGACCATAGCTGTTCAATAATTTAGATTCAAAATCCACTTCTTTTTTTTTTTTTTTTTGTCCTTTTTGAGACTGGCCGCACCGCGCTCAGCCAGTGAGCACTGTGAGTGCACTGGTCATCCCTACATAGGATCCGAACCCGCGCCATGGGCTTGGCCCTCAATATCCACTTCTAACTGGATCTTCAATAGGGCACTATTTACTTTTAATTTTTATTTTTCCCACGGGCTTGGCCTTCAATATCCACTTCTAACTGGATCTTCAATAGGGCACTATTTACTTTTAATTTTTATTTTTCAGTGGTTGTCCTTAATTTCTTTAGTGTAATTATGTTTCCTCTTTTAAAAAAATAAATACTTTAGGCCTTTTTTATATTCTATTGCTTTCTCACTTGCTTATTTAACACACAAAAAAGTATTTGTTGTACCTAAAAATTCACTTTATTACCATAATTATCTCAAAGTACTTAACTTCAATTTATTTCATTCCCATTCATACATTTTAGCTCATTCAAATTGAATTCAAATTCAAATTCAAATTTCTAGTCACAATCTGGCAACACATGTACATAACTTTGCTCAAATTTTGAAGCCTTGAGCACATCTTTCTGAAATGAATCAATAACTTTATTTTTTCCTAACAAAGCAAGGTAAACATTTTACTTTTATTTCCTCAAAATGTCTTAGGTACTATTCAGTCCCTTGAGCACTAGGTTGTGACTTGGGAAACTTGATCTAACCCACATAAAAATGATTTGTTCACTGACCTTATACAATTGACTTGCCCTGTGCTTCCATTTTCTTGCCAGCTAAATAAGAATAAATCACTTTGCCAATATTTCATCGATAAGCTAAAAGCTCTGAGATAATATTTTTAAAAAGTTTGACCTCCAACAAAGAAAGATATTACATAACCAGTTGAAGTTGAATTCCACTACAGTGTCAGTGTCAGGGGACAATGACAATATAACTTAATATCATTAAAGGGTGATATTAGTGTCATCATGAAAATGCTATACTAATATGACTTCCTACATAACGGACACAATTTGATATATTTAAATGTATTCAATTAATTATGTTTAATTATACTAAGAAAGACAAAGTATTAGAAATATTAATAAAAACTATATCATATTTTTAATAAATAACATGAAATTATAACTACTATTGCAAGTCTCACCCTGTACCAAATTTCCTTCAATATTATATTTATTGAAAATAAAAATATTGATGACATAACATTAATACTAGGAAAATAAGGAACTGATGCATAAAATATCACAATGTTCCTTTGTGAGCTAGTAGAATTCAATAAAGTTGAGTTGTTTTGCATCTTATTGTCCAATCCCCAGAAGATAATCTGATGTTATGAATAAAAAGATTTCCTATTTTAATATTTATATGTTTTACTTTATTTTCTTATGAACTTCTGTTTGATTTCAAATTTAATTAAAACATAATTATGATATCAAAGAAATTACCTTTTCCAAAATATCCTGCTGATATTAAGTCCTGAATGATGTAACCACATCAGTTAATATAACGTGGCACAGAACAAGATCTTTCATCAGAAACTATTGTTCAAGTACAAGTAATAATAAAGTAGGTAGTGTTGGTATATTTGTTCAATTAGTCAATATTTATTGAGCATCTACCATGGATTAGACTCTATTCTAAATCTTGAGAACAATTTTTTTGAATAAGCCAGGTAATGAATGTCCTGCTCTAATGGAACTTACAGCCTCTTAAGTAAGAGAGAGTATGTATGTGCATGTGTGTGACAATGTTATTCAAAATTACATAGCAGATGCGTCAAACTATTTGTATTTATTAAAGGGAAGGCATACAGTAATAATCATAGGACTTGTACGTTCACAGCACCTAACACTAGTAGCTTCAGAAGACCAAAGCAAAGCCTATAAGCATCTTTCATTATGAACACTACATAAAAGTGACTGAATGGCTTACTGATTTTATTGAACACTCTTCTTCCCTGCCCTCCTGCATATGCCACACACAGAAAAGCACACACACTCACGATAAATATAATTTCTTTACAATGCTTTTTAAAAGTAGCCAGTAACAAACTAAGCATACTGAGCTCCCTGGAGAAAATGACACTGATACCAGAACTTGCAATAGCCCAAATGATATTCAATTTAAGAATAAGAAGATTCTAAGATTGTAGGGATTTTAAATAAACAACATATGCACCAAAAGCAATAATGCAACTAAAACGTAGCAACTTAGGGCCGACCCTGTGGCGCACTCGGGAGAGTGCGGTGCTGGGAGCACAGTGGTGCTCCCGCCGCAGGTTCGGATCCTGTATAGGGATGGCCGGTGCACTCACTGGCTGAGCGCGGTGCGGGCGACACCAGGCCAAGGGTTGCGATCCCCTTACCGGTCACAAAAAGGACAAAAAAAAAAAAAAAAAAAAAGTAGCAACTTAGAAACTCTTCAAACTCAAATCAATGTCATTACCATTTGTTTTTTTTTAAACCCCTTCCCCAAACTAAAGTCTGATTATTGGTTGCTACTTAGACATCAGAAGCAGAAAGTGATATCTCCAAAGGTAAAGCAGAGATTCTAAGCTGTAAGCTGTTAGAAATCATGATTTTTTAACATCAAAGATTGGTAAAATATCAACTGCTAATATGATTTATAGTGTGGCTAACAATGCTATAAAGCCCAGAAACCAAGAGTTATTGAAATACCTTAAAATTAACTTCCATGTATAATTCTCTACCACTTATGATTCAAGGTGTTAATATTAATGGACTACAGATGACACATCCCTGATTTAAAAACCAGGTAACATCTCAACTTCTCACAACTTTCTTACTGAAGTTAAGTTTTCAGTACAGGAAAATACAACCATTTAACAAAACAAAGATATATTTAATCACTAGAGTTAAATCTTTGAATAAAGATTTAATGAAAATTTGCATAAATTAATTATTATTAACTCTATGGTTCAGTTTATACAAGGTTTGAAGTTAAGGCTACTTGTGGTTTTGCAGACATTGACATAATCTTTGAGTCAACTGCGGTTTTTGAAGTACAAGCATACCTTGAAAAGTTCATAGAAAAATTTGTATTATCTTTTCATTTCATTTTCCATGAATTATTTGAAGTACCCTTGTACATCTGGCCTCTTTTTAAACACTGATTTTCAGAATGTCATCCAAGGCATGTTTCTATTGAGGTTCTAAGGTAACGACAGCAGCATCTCTTATCAACTAGTACTGAATTTCATTTCAGCAGACAGGTGCCGCAGAGCGTTGGCTTGTTAATTTCAGAGGAATGATGAAACTGGCAAGAGCATTTGTTGGTTCCTACTGTATGTCATTTTCCTTTATCAAAGGATGACTGTATGGGCCTACAACATTTAAACTCGAGACTTGTTAAAACATAAGCAATTCTCCAGGATATACTATTTAGTGGGAAAAAATCAAAATGCAGAATCACTGTGCATAACATTTGTACAGTATCATTTGTATAAAAAAAGGGGAAAAGACATAGCTTATCATGAATTAACTATTCTACATAAAAGATTGTCTTCAAGGAAGAGAAATTGGAAAGCTGAAAACAGTGTACAGTGATATTTTCAGTTTACCCTTTTGTAAGTTTAAAAATATGAATCAAGTGAGTATATAACCTCTTTTAAAAATGAGCTTTTTCTTCCCCAAAGTCCTTCTCTCTATAACACATTGTTTTGTACCATTAAAAAATAATAAAGCCTTATGGGATACTTGTCCTATGCCTTAACCTCCTCAGACCTAGGACTTTGTGTTATTATAGCAGACTTGAAACAACCCAGGTA